CTTACAATGCTCTAATTCTGTTTCTCTAATGGAAGGGACAGTTCTTCAGGAAAAAAAAACAAAACAAAACTCACCTCCCATGTGGGCCCTGCCTCTGTAGAGGCTCTTAAGCACTCTTTTTTGCTTAGAAGAAGCTACATCTTCAAAATATATATGTCCAAGAAAAAAAGGGGAAACTTCTAGGTGAATAGAGACTTAGGTTAATAGAGTCAGATGACCTAAAAGCATCTTGTTTAGATCCTTGTTTGAATTCTAAAAAACACCCATGAGACAATCAGGAATATTTAAATACTGATTAATGGACTGGATATTTGATTATTGTTAAATTTTTTAGCTGTGACAATGGTAGTGGTACTATGTTTTTGAAAAGGGTTCCTATCCTTTACAGATACATAAATATTTACAGATGAGATGATATCATATTTGAGATTTGTTACAAAATAATCCAGTTGTAGGAATCAAAGGGATACAAATGAAATAACACTGGCCTTGGTTGATAATCATGAAAGCTGGGAGACAGATACCTAACGACTTCCTTACACTCTCCTATTTTTGTATATGTTCTAAATTTTCCATATTAAAAATTTTTGAAAGGACATCTTGAAAATACTAACATGTTCTTTTACAATTAATCTACCTTAGTTTCTTTTTCAAGAACTATGATCAAACTCAATCAACCATAAATTCACTCATCTAAAATCAAGACAGACGTTCATCTACCATGTTCTTAGACTATGTATTCACAGTTCAAATGACCACAGGAAAAAGTAGTTCTGTACTTTTGCCCAAAGTAGAATTGCCACAAAATAATCACTGTAAATATTTAAATTATCAGTAGCTTTTCTATTAAAATATCTTTCAGATCTTCCTTTTCATTCATAGAACAGTGTGCTTAAAAACAGCATCCTGTACCTCTCAAAGTTATTTTAACTAAAGAATGCATGCTTTTGGAAGAGGACTTGAGGTCTTTTATTTAAATCTCCAGCTTACTCATCTGTATTAACAGATGTGCTCAGTTGGTCAGTCTTTGCAACCCTGTGGACTCTAGCCCACCAGGCTCCTCTGTCCATGAAAATTTCCAGGCAAGAATACTGGAGCAGGTTGCCATTTCCCATGCCAGGGAATCTTCCTAACCCATTAACAGATAAAATACTTGATTAAAAGACTGATCTAATAAACACTGAACCTATACTAAGCAATGGAGCAGAGGTTTAAATTCAGAAGACCCATGAAAAAACTTCAGAGAGGGGTCCTCATTACTTGTTATATAAAAATTTGAAAAACAGATAACTATCAAAGCAGAGCAGGCCCTGAATGCGGGGCTGCTTGGGTTCCAGTCCCCAGTCCGGGTCTCATCTGGAATATGCTCTACTCTTACCCAGGGAGGACCCACTGGACAGCATGCATGGCTGTCATAGTGAAACACGTGTTTTTGCTAGGAAGAGTCACCATGAACATGCAGTAGTGCTTGAGGAACTGACAGTCATTCTGTAGGGTATTATAAACAAGCACGCTCATCAAACTGAAGACCAGGAGATAGCTTTTAAGAAAGAATGAGGGACTTCCCTGGTGGTCCAGTGGTTAAGAATCTGCCTTGCAATGCAGGGAATTGGGATTTGTCGGGGAAATAAGATCCCATATGCCTCGGGGCAATGTAACCCACGTGCCACAACTAAGACCTGATGCAGCCAAAAAAAAAAAAAGAAAGAATGGCCATTCACCTATCAACATATACAGAAAGATTAGGCCAAGCCTCAGTGAAAGCTAGAACTTGCTCAGAAGTCACTAGCTCAGCAGAACTCTAAGGAAAACATTTCATTAATTAATCATGGACTTTTCTGCCAATGCCAGCAGGACATGTTCTATCACAGCGTGGTGATGGCACCTCTCTCAGTGTAATGCCTGAGAATCAGTGGGTCTACTTAAACATTTACTTTTAAATATCCTCCTCAATCTTGAAATAAAATTTCACACTAGAGGTTCAGGTAAGGAAGCGGGAAGCATAGTAAGATGTCTTCAAGTTCAAAGTCCACTTCTCTGATAGACAATAACTTAGTGCATCATAAGTCAACTCTAAAGGATCAGAGCATAAGACAAATGCTGGAGAACTATTTGAAAGCTCAGGGTCCAGAGGAGACAGCACTATACTCCTATGGAAACCACAGGCTCTAAAACAAGTCCCACAGTGCCTGCTGTCCCAGCTCTTCTAAGAATTGATCATCTTGAACTGTAATTGCTCCAGAAGCACCTGGCCCTGCTTCCACTAGCACGTAAGTTTCCTGAGTGGTTCACTCATCTCTGTAGTCTCAGCAACTACAGACCACACAGAACATGCCTGGCAAATGTCTGTTGAGTGAGGGAAGCAGGTGTATGGAGGGCTAGGGGGGAACCCAAGACGGACATATTCAGAGAGCCCAGGTTTCCTTACCAATTTGGGCCTCCACCCTGGCTGTCAGGGCCATACAGTAAATGACCCGGGAGAAATTCCAGGGAAGTTTATGTAAATCAAAGTATTTGAAAATCAAATGCTTGCTATTTAAACCAGGGGAATCTGCTATTTAAATAGAATCCACGGTAGAATTGTTTGTAACAGGGAATGAGCAGTCCTCTTTGCAATGAATACACCTGTTTCTATTCTGAGTCTGCTTGCAACAGGAGACACCTGGCTCAAATCTACACCTCGCCTAACCATCACTTGAGCAACACATTCACACTGTCTGAAGTTCTCGATCAGACTAAAAAGGAGATAAAATAAACTGATATGATCCAGCTTTCCGGACAAGTTTCATGAGTATTGCCTGTGTCCGACTTTTAATTTCAGACAGTGAGAAAGTTCCCCAATAATGGAATCCTGGAGGGCAGCCAATGCTCCATGGAAGCCAGGCTCTGGGCTATTCAGCTTCCCTTGGTTGATATGGGGTGGGCAAATAATACAGCAGGCCGTGAATGAGAAGCGAGCTGACTGGCAGGTAGACAGTGTATTCTAGGGGAGTGCGTGTTCAGTTGTGTCAGACTCTTTGCGACCCCATGGACTGTAGCCCACCAGGCTCAGTATTCCAGGCAAGAACACTGGAGTGGTTTGCCATTTCCTACTCCAGGGGATCTTTCTGACCCAGGATCGAACCTGCATCTCTTTGAGTCTCCTGCACTGGCAGGCAGAATCTTTTACCACCTGGGAAGCCCCAGTGTACTTTTAGAGCACATCTTTAAATTAAAACCCAAAGCAACAAAGTTATCATTTTCTATGATTTGGCACAGGGACAAGTCCTAGTCAGAGATGTGGGGCATACAGTAGATATTTGATAACATTTGTTAGTCAGTTCCAAGATAAAGATATGACTCAAGAGACAAGTTTCAGAAATCCTGGCCATGGAGACAGCTTGAGGCAGAAGGAAAGTCTCAGTGCAGCGCTGACTACAAACAAGAACAGGCATCATTGTCACCTTTAGTCACTCAGAACGAGGACAGATGGTGGCCAACAGACTGATTTGCTGGTCAAAGGTTTAAAGTTTCAGGCAATGTTTCATGGATCAAGAATTTGGTTGCCAGATTTAGCAAATGGAAGTACAGAATGCCCAGTTAAATTGGAATTTCAGATAAACAACGAACGATTTTTTAGGATAAGTATTCCCAAATATTGCATGAGACAAACACACAAAAAATTACTGTTTATCTGAAATTCAAACTTAATTGAGTGTCCTGTATTTAATCTGGCACTCTTACTCTAGAGAAAGTGGAAACATACGGTGACCCACAGACCTCCTTACTCCACTGAGATTTCTGAAGCCCTGTTCACAGAAATGCTTAAGGAGTTTAGATATGAAGAATCTATCTTCTTAAGAGTGAAAAAAGATGTTGATCAGAGTCGCCTACCCTGAGGCCACAGAGAAGAGAAGGGCAAAAGAATAATATGATTAGGACAGGGTCTCTCAATCTCAGCAGGACTGACATTTCGGGTTGGATAATCCTGAAAAGGGGCGCTGTCCTGTGCATTTCAGGATTGTCAGCAGCATCCCTGGCCTCTACCTGCCAGATGCCCGTGCACCCCTTCCCACCACAAAAATGTGTCCAGATATTGTCAAATGTCCCTTGGGGGCACAAATCTCCTCTAGTTGAAACCAATGAATTAGAAGAAATGATCAAATAAACAGAGAGTGTCATACCCATCAACCAGTGGTCACACAACAAAAGATTCTTCTCAAGAGAGAAATTTTCAGCTCCACCCGGGGACCCCCTCAGGCCCGTAAGAAGGATGAGAGGACTAGTTATTTCAGCTAGGACAATCAGAAACCCTTCATTGGCCAGAAGCACTGAAGGAGAATCTTTGGTGAGCCAAGCCGATGAAGTTCTGCATGGCAGTACACACATCACAAAGCAGGGAGACGCACCCAGCCTTTGAAGACGTTCCTTTTAAGTTAACCTCCCTTCCAACTAAACTTTTTCCAAATCTCTTCCTGCCATTTGGAAGTTGAGTGATTCTCAGCTGAAAAGGCCTGTATATACGAGGTGCAGATGGCAGCAGTTATGGCCCTCACCAGATGCTGCAGTCTCTAATTTGATTGAAAGGATATAATTAGACAACAGAAACACTTTAATGAAAGAGCAAAACATGGAGGGAGGGAAGGATTGAAGGCCCTTAACTGATGCCAAAACACCCACCAGTAATAGAGGCTTTGAGTCTGGGGAAAAGGAAGGGGAAAGCCCCTTAAAAGGACAGTCCCCATCCTGTTTATTTCCCCATAGACATAGGAATAGGGATTTTATTATTGTAGATTTCCACTGTATTTTATGTGGGAACAATCTGATTAAAACCAGAAGAAGTCTTCGGAAGAACATCAAAGAAAAACAAATATGGCTTCTGTGGTCATTATTAAAAATATTTTTACCAGTCCAATAATTTTCTTTGAAGATGAATTTTTATAGATTGAACAGCAGCAAGTAATTTACATACTGTGATGACACTGGTTAACAATCCCTACTGTTCTAGAATAGAACTACTTGGCCGCCATGTTTTCATCCAACATCAGGACACCAAAGAACATGGACAGCCACTTAACATTTCTGTTTGGAAGATACCAAGAAACTGGGGAGAGTTAGTCCTGTAAGTCAACACTACAACTGTTCTGAATCATCTTTAAAAGTTGCCTCTGCTGTTTTTATTATTTCCTAGCTTTCAAACTTTGAGTGTGAGTACACTGCTCTGGTTCTAACCAAGAATCTAACCAAACTGAAAGAAGTCCAGCCCTCAAAGTCTGAAGTTGCTAATGTGGTGTGACACTCTGGTTTGGAAGCCTCCTCAGCCCACTAGAAGTGGGACCCCGCCCTCATGGAAAATTGAACAATAAAAGTTTAATGCTCTGGCTACTTGCCAGGGATTAAATCAGTGGTGAGAGAAACTAGAAGCTGGGCCCAGCAAAGAGGCAGCTCTGAGAGGGTACTGTTATAAGTAGGAGGGAGACGCAGCCTTGTATAGGAGGTGGCCTGAAATCTTTTGTCTATAAAGTTCTTCCTAGTCCCCAACCTCATTCCTCTTCAAACTGGTGCAAGTCCAGGCGAGGGAGGTGTTTACCTAGAAAGTGGTTTAAAGGCAGGTGGGGAGTGGGAAGATGTCCTTAGAGAAGGAAAAGGCAGGTTTCTGTGGAGTGGCCATTTTTGAGGAGGGACACCCCTCTGACATTTCTACAAGGGCTTTGCTTTCTCTGTTCAATCTGAATCCAGGATAAGGTCCCAGAGATGAGGTCTGGGGAAGAAGCACTGCTATCTTGAGAGGAAGACACCGAAGACAACAGAGAAAGGGGGAAAAATACAGAGTGACCTTGGGCTCCTCCCCTAGACTCACGCTTCTGGGTTCCAGCTGGATTCTCAAGATAAAAATAACATGGGAGAATGTCAGTCAGTTCTCACCCATTCACCAGGAGTCAGCCAGAAATGAACCTGCCAGGTGACTACAGGGGGCTTGAGGAGACCTCACCTCAAAACCTGCACAGGTAGTTTGCTAAGGAACACATTCACTTTCTCCTCTGTTGTCCTTATTCAGGAGGCAAAAACCCAGACAAAAGCTGCAGATCCAAACTTCCGGCCTCTCCCAAGTGTTTTGCATTAACTGTTCCACAGTACAAATACAATCAACTTGGTATGTTTGTTTCATTTTGTTTTTTTCAAAAATGTTTTAAAATAATCAGCCATGCTAAACACATTGTTGTTTTTCTAAAGGTCACTTTATAAAAATGACGATAGAACCATGGAAATAAAACTCAACTGTTTAGGAAAATGATAGAAGTTTGTTTTCTCTTTTATTTTTTTTTCTGGCTTTTTTTTTCTTTTTAAATATCTCAGGGCTTGTGCCACCTGCTGCCTAGGCTTTCCTCTGAGAAACAGATCTCTCAACAGTTTGATCCAAGCAACATCTGCATAGCTGAACAAACCCTGGGCTGGTTCTGAGGCAAGCTCTATTTTCTTTATGTGCTGCACGCTGAACCACACTGAATTTCTTTTTAACGCTTTTTTTTTAAGTCTTAGTAAAGATCCAAATGTATGTGCATGAAATTTCCCTCCCGGACACATTCTTTTTAACAGTGGTAATATATACATAACATAAAATTTACCTTTTCAACCATTTCTCAAAAGTCTTTTAAAGTCAGCTACCACTAAAAGGTTCATTCATTCACCAAAATCATTTGCCTCCTTGTCACCTTTCCGGACCAGTGAACACTGGGGGGAAAAAAATCAATACATATGGACCTAGAGCAGGACTTGGTAAAGTACAGCCTGTAAGCCAACTCTGGCCCACTGCCTGTTTTTGTATGTCCTATGGGCTAAAAAAATGCTTTTTAAACTTTTAAATGGTTGAAAAGACTAAAACTTGTGACACATAAAAATTACACGAAATTCGAATGTGGGTGTCCATGTGAGTTTTACTGGAAGACAGCCACTCTCATTCATTCACATTTGGTCTATGGGCTCTTTTGCCCTACAAAGCCAGAGTTGAGTAATTGCAGCAGACAGTACATGGCCCACAAAACCCCTATTATTTACTGTCTAGTCCTTTATAAAAAATGTTTGCCGACACCTGATCTAGAGCCTCACATGGCATTACAGGCTTGAAAAGTCTACACTAAAGACGATATATTGCCCATCACACCAAATTCCTAATCTGTACACTGTGAAGCAATATATTTTACCTTCATCACTGATTGCCTTTGATCCAAATAGCCTAAATCATAAGTAAGCACATCAAGAATATCTCTATTAAATGTACCAACTTGCTGTTTCTTAGCAGTGAGCTTAAACTGAACTTCTTTTTGCTCTAAGATTTATAAAAGGTCTCATTACAATATCTCAAACACTTAGATAGCTTTGCTGAGGAGCGAGAAGTTTTCACAAAAAGATGAGAGTTCTTTGATGCCAGGTCAGTTTTGACCATTTCCCTGTCTCTTAAAATATTAAAAGCATAAAAGAAACTGGTATGCACGTTGGTCCCCTTTACTCCTCTCAGCCCTTATGTTCGTTCATGCTAAATCCTTTCAATCATGTCCGATTCTTTGCCACCCCATGGGCTGGCTGTAGCCCGCCAAGCTCCTCTTTCCATGGGATTCTCCAGGCAAGAATACGGCAGTGGGGTGCCATTTCCTCCTCCAGGGGATCTTCCTGACCCAGGGATTGAACTCATGTCTCTGGCTTTGGGAGGCAGGTTTTTTGCAGGTAATCCTATTAACATTAATGGAGTCCCCACAAGGGACAGAGCTCTGTACAGTATGAAGCTCTTACTGTTAACTGAACTCACAGGTTTTACAGCAAGACACACCACTGTCCAATGGGACAAAATCTAGATGAGGAGCTAGAGGAGAATGAGTACCAACTACAAAACGATGTTCACGGCAAATGTTACCAGAGTTGAGACGCTCTGTGGACGCACACCCAGCAGGCCCTAAATGTGGTGAAACACTGATGGTGAAGGTGAAACACTGAAGGTATTTGCCTTCAGCGGAAAACTCAGAGCTAAAGTCCACCCAGCTTTCTCTTCTACCTCTTGGCTGTCCCCTGCAGGTCAGTAAATTCCAGATGGGAGTCCACGTCGGACAGTCCATGGCCCTGGCTGCCTTTCTCTTTGAAGAGGGAGTCTAGATTCCACCACTAACCTCTACATCTCTCCTTATCAGTTGTGAAGGAAGGGAGAGGATCTCAAAGGATAAAGAGAAGGGAGATCATTAGGGGTTGGCTATACACTGTAATTAGCAGTATCACTGATAGGGAATGAGCTAACTCTTTTCATAGAGTCAGCATTCAAATATGCAAACCACCAGTAATTTAAATATTACAAAATTATGCAGAATGTAAGTACTGAAATAATTTTTTCCATCCACAAAATTTTAGAGAAAATTACAGTATCAAAAATATGAAATGGCAAGCCTGACATATCTTCAGAGTAAAACATGTTTTTTATTGGAAAGGATTTTTAAAAACTAGTGGGTAGGCTCTAGACAGGATGTGATGGTGAAGACCATGTGGTATCTCCCCAAAACTGCTCTGGAACTAAAGAGGAAAAGTCACAAAGGCACTGATGTATTATATCAAGATGGTAGGGAGAAAAGCTGATGAGGATCACTGAATTGGGAACATGGGCCTTATCAGAAATAATTTCATAATGGTTATTTATTTGTCCCTACCCCAGACTCTTCCCAGGTGGCTCAGTGTAAAGAATCCACCTGTCAATGCACGAGACACAGGAGATGTGAGTTTGATCCCTGGGTCAGAAAGATCCCCTGGAGGAGGAAATGGCAACCCACTCCAGTATTCTTGTCTGGAAAATCCCATGGACAGAGAAGCCTGGTGGGCTATAGTCCATAGGGTTGCAGGACTTAAGGACTAAGCGAGCATGCAGGCATGCACAAACCCCAGACCCTCCAATAAAAGCACGCCGAGGTTTGAAGTTCACATGACATAAGGGCTGCTGCACTTGACCCTTTCTACTGAAACAAAGGTGCCTGAGGAGGGTGCCACCTTCCAACAAGCATAAGCACACAGTAGGCTCCCTGAACACTTTTCAGAGCTATTACTTTGCCCTGTCCAGGAGAGGAACCAGTTTGTTTCCACCGGTACCTCTCTCCATAGAGGACATTAAATCCTGACCACACAGATGGCAAAGTGGAGCTAAGGGGTTACTAGGTTACAGTTATGTTGACATATCCTGGCTCTCAGAAAGTTCCTCCGTCATTCCTCACAGACGATAAACAGTAGAAGTGATCAAACTTTTGCAGAAGTTTTTGAAGATGTCCCCTTAAGAGGCCACTGATAACTCAGAAACCCCCTTCCTGAGCCTAAGGTTTACAGCATTTGGAGAGCCCCCTTCTACTTCTCCAAAGCCAAGCTTTGCCTTTTACGGGGTTTAATCAGATTGGAAGCTCAGAGCATTCCCAGGGCAAAGGAGGTGTCCAGCACCTGGTGAACTGTGAAGCACTATAAAAAGAATTCTTAAATGTGTTCAGTGACTGCCTGCTGTATGTGGGCGTGTTACCTGCAGTATATTCTTTAATCTTCACAACACCCAGCAAGGGAATTACCATATACTCCTTTACAGATGAGGCAACTGAGGCTCAGAGAGCCGAAGGCACAGCCCAAAGTCAGGCAGTAAGTGACAAAATTAAACTTGATCTTTATCAGGAAACCAAGCTGGCAAGTAAACAAAGCAAGCCAGAGTTTTCTTTCAGCAGCAAAATCCTGTCTCTCCAACATCACAGTCTGCGACTTTGGGTGGAGAACCCAGAGGCTTGAGTTTTCCCAGTCGGCAAATCTGTAATGCACTTTTCCCACCCCTTTCCCTCATGTCCAATTCCCCACACCTGAACAACCTGCTGAGAAAGGTAAATGGGCCAGACAACGCCCTCTTGCCTGCTCTTCAACTTGGGAGAGTTCTGCTGCAAGGAAGGGTGTGAGGGCAAGCTAAGCAAGTTCCAGCTTCCATCCTGGTCTAAGGCCCCATGTGGGGAAAACCTGGCCTTGACCTTGGCTTGGGGAGAGGGTGACCCTGTTTAAAGTGTGGAGATACCCAGGGGAAATGGGGGCTCTGCGTTGCACTCGCACGACAAGCACCCTAAACTCTGTAGGGGAGACGTCTGCCATCACCCCCCTTCCTTTCTTCCTCTCCCCAACGCTGGACCTGCACCTGAGTCCCCGGGAAGTTCAAAGCGGGCCCCGGGGAGGGGGGTGGATAGGGGACGTTCAGGCAAGGCCGAGCCGGTCGTCTCGGGACCCAGATCCGTCTCTACTAGTAGGACAGGCAGGTCAACTCGACTCCTCACGAGGCGCAGATTACAGAGCTGGGCTAGCGGGGCGCAGACCCGGGCAGAGGGGCCGGACGCCCGCTCTCGTCGCCTCTCGGCACCCGGTCGGGAGCCGGGAGGCGCGGGGCGCGCGGACGTGGGAGGGAAAGGGACCGGGGGGCGTCGCTGTGGGGCTTGCTGAGGGCGTCCTGGCCTGGGGTGTCTCTGAGGGGCTTCGGGTGGGGGTGGGGCAGCGTCCCCAAGCGGGGCGAGTCGCCCCAAAGGACCTGAACTGGGCTGGGGGTGCGAGGTCCTGAGAGAGGAGACCTCCCGGCTCGGGGCGGGGGGGTGGGGGGGGGCGTCGCTGAGAAGCCTGAGGAAAGGGTCTGAACTACTGGAGGCAGAGAGGGCGCCGGCCGGGGGCGTCGCGGAGGGGCCTGAGGGTTTCTCGGGTCCTGAGAGAGGAGATCTCCCGGCCCGGGGGGGCGTCGCTGAGGAGCCTGAGCAAAGGGTCTGAAGTACTGGAGGCAGAGAGGGCGCCGGCCGGGGGCGTCGCGGAGGGGCCTGAGGAGAAGGGCCGCCTCGTCCGAGGGGCGTCGCTGAGGGGCTGGAAAAGGAGCCCCACCAAGCTGGGGCGAGGGAGTTGGGCCCCTGGGCGGGCTCCGCGAGGGACAAGCGGCGGCGGGGGGCTCGCTCACTCACCGGGTCCCGGGCCAAGGCCGGGGCTGGGCGCGGGCCGGGCGGCCAGCGTGAGCGCGACGGCGGAGAGCAGGGCGAGGCGGGCGGCGGGCGGCGCCATGGGCCGTCAGTGCGGGGCCCCGGGGCGCGGCCCGGGGGAGAGGGGGCAGCGCACGGAGCCGGGGGCGGCCATGGGAGCGGGACGCTGGGCTTGAGCGTGGCCCCGCCCCGGCCGCCCGGGGCCCGCCCGGCTCAGCCGAGAGGCCCGAGGGGCGGAGCCGACGGCGCCCGCCCGCGCCTGCCACTCACACGCCAGGACCCGCCCACAACACCCCCCGCTGCACCTGGCCCCGCCCACCGGCGGAGCACTCACTTGGAAGATTCGAGGGGCGGGACTTACAGGTAAGGGGCGGGGCCTGGGGCACCGCCTCCGAGTCCCCGAGTGGAGGTTTGACCCGGCTGGACCGGGCCGGGCGCCCAGTGACCCCTGCTCCACCCTCGTTCGGGTCGTGACCCACACGCGGGCTCAACCGCAACCGTAAAAATCAAAACAGCACTTTGCAAACCGCTTTTCTCTGCTTGGCTCGTCGCAGCGGTTTTAAAAAGGGTGCTCTGGAGTCAGCCTGACCGGATTCATATCCCACTTGATCACCTGTAAGCTCTTGAGAGTGAAAGTCGCTCAGTCGCGTCCGACTCTTTGCAACCCCATGGACTATACAGTCCATGGAATTCTCCAGGCCAGAATACGGGAAGTGGGTAGCCGTTCCCTTCTCCAGGGGATCTTCCTAACGCAGCGGATCGAACCCAGATCTCCCGCATTGCAGGCGGATTCTTTCCCAGCTGAGCCACCCGGGAAAGGAAAAATAGCTCTCTTACTTCAACTTCTTCATCGGTTAAACGGGGGCGTTGATAACAATTACTCCCAAAGCGGTGGTACTAACGAGAAAATGCGTGGAAACATTTACACACACACAGTAGGAGCTTAGAAACTGTTGAGTTCCTTTCACCATGCCGATTCTTGCAGGCACAAAAGAGGCAGCATACTGAGCCCTGGTTCCGAATTCTAAAACACATCTTTTGTCAAGTAGGGCAAGTCCCCTGCTCTTAGTCATCTGCAAAATAGAAATAATAAAAGGTCCTCACAAAATTAGGTTAGATTACATAGAAACAAGTGAGGCTCCCGACCCCGAGAAAGTCCCGAAGTGGGTGGGGCGACGGTGCTTTCTCAGACACTTGGATCCCCGGGCGCAGAGAGCGCGTGGCGGCTCTCGGCCCCCGTGTGGCCGGCGCATTGCTCCTCACTCCCCGGCAAGGTCTTCCCCGCCAGCCCCAGGGTCTGTGGGAGGGCCTTCTCCTACGCCGCACTCCCCTAGGCAGAAATTTTCCTCCAGCTCCCGCCTAAAGCGCCGCGGCAACGCCCCGCAGGGCAGGTCCGGGCGATGCGCCGGGAGTTTTTAAGTCCCTGGTACCAGACTTGCAAGTGCGGGCCTGCGCCCGGCGAGGCAGAGGAAACCGCCCTCTCATGCAGACTCGCAGCGCCCTGAGCGGAGCTGGGCTCTCCCCGCCCCGCAGGCTCCCCGGCCCGCTTTAGGCACACCGTCCCCTGCGCCCCCTAACTCCCCGGGGGCCGTCCCCTCGCCTGCCACTTCGCTTCCAACCATCCCCCCCGACCCCGTCCCAGCTGCTTCCAGAAGCGCCCCAAAGGCGCACCTACCTCCCACGAGGCCTCTGGGCTCCCTCCTTCTCCACCCACACGACCCAGCGCCCCGGCAAGAGTCATCTTGTTCAGTCACTGTTTTCCCTGTGTCATTCCCGAGGTGGAGACTCCTCTGGGCTCCTTGGAGCAGGGGGCCGCCCCTCTCCCAGGTTCCCGGAGACACACCCTCCACATCCCACCTGGTGTCTTGCACTTAACTTATCCTTTGTCTTCTGCACCATTTCAGGTCTTTCCCCACCTCCAAAATTGCCTCCTGTAAGACAGCCTGGGAATTCTTCACCTCTGAACGTGCACACCCTTCCAAGCAGGAGCTGCTTGAAGGAGAATAAAATGGGGAGATGCAGGTAGAATGATCAGCACAAAGTGAGTACTTAGGGAAGGGGATCCTTCCTCCCTTCAACAAATGCTAAATGAGGAGTCTGTCAAAAGCACCAAGATAAGAACTTACAGTCTGAACTGACACTCATACAGAGGGGAGAGGCTGGTTAACCAACAGGAAAATAATGTGATTTTCAGAAAGCACCAAGTAGGATAACGACAAGAAGATGATATTGACAGAGGATGCTCTGTGGCCTGTTTTAAACAGTCCGCTAGGGAACGGTTTTAGCAAAGCAGGACGCAGCTCTCTATAGTTTATGAGGTCCTTTCATATCTCTTCTTAGTTTCAGAAGAGGAAATAAGAAGGGCAGACAGGGGTTTCAAAATCAGGTTTATTTGGCCAAATCTGGGGATTTATGCCTCGTGGTAGTAGCTCCCAGCTGTCTTACTGTCCTGCAGAAAGGCACCCCTGCTGGCTGGGTGTGCCAGTCTGCTCTCTTGGCCTTGCGTAACCAGAATGGGCTACAGTGAGAGGTGAAAATGTGGGATCCCTTTCTTTAAAATGAAGAATTTCCAGACAGCAACAATAGAACATTAAACCAAGCCTGGGGTCCTCCTAAGCTTGAAGGCCTGTGTCAACTGCACACAGCCCTGGAATGTCGCAAGCCCCAGAAAGCTGGCTTGTACAACAGAAGTGAGAAATAGTGTGCAAGCCCCTGCCCCCACTGGCTGCTATGAGAAACATCCCTCTAGCTGTCCCCAGGCCTCCCTCCCCTCTTTTCCAGCGTAAAGCCCAGCACAGGTGATGGAAACAGCACACAGAGACTAAAAATACAGCCACGCAGGTCTAGGTCAGGTCACGTAAGGGCTCAAGGTCTTTGCTCAGTGATGTGGTCCGGGCCCTGGCAAGGAGCTGCCTGAGATATTCATTTCAGTGCTTCACATGCCTCAGTTCTTAAGCAGCTTTATTTCATGGAAAGAGTGAGGGCACTGATTGTAGCCCCTGGGCCTTCAGGAAGAGGTTGGTGTCTGTCTGTCCGCTGGCTGTGCAGTCGGGCCCTTGGATTCCTCCTGAGGGCAGCAGGATTTGCCAAAACCTGAGTGATCTCAGCTGGCGGAGTTTGGGGGATCCTGGTATCTTTGAAACTCCAGCTGGGATGATTTCTGCTCAAAGGGCAGTCATGCTGTGGAGAGAGCATGAGATGAGAAGTCTGGTTATAATAACAAGAATAGCAGGTGTTCACTGAAGATTTCACTGAGCTTTCGGCAGGGTGCAGGATTTGTCATCACATTGCATGTATGACAGTCACCCTACGAGGGAGGCACCCTTACCAGCCCCCTCATACAGAGATGGTTAATGGCTTGCCCAGAGGTCACCTAGTGGTGGGGCTGGGCTTTGACCCCAGGCAGTGGGATTTCAGGACCACACACAGCTCATCACCCACCATGGTGAACTGCTTTGTCTTTGCGGGGTTCTAGCAACCAATGCTCCCTGAGTGGTCCAAGGCTGGGATTAGGGTGAGGTGAGTGAGGCATTGGCTTTAAGCACAAGATTTAAGGGAGCCTTCAAACCCAAGTGGTGCTAGTGGTGAAGAACCTGCCTGCCAGTGCAAGAGATGTAAGAGACGTGGGTTCGATCCCTGAGTTGGGAAGGTCCCCTGGAGAAGGGCGTGGCAACCCAGTCCAGTATTCTTGCTTGGAGAATCCCATGGACAGAGGAGCCTGGTGGGCTACAATCCACAGGGTCACAAATATTTAATGGACTGTGACTTTGAAAATTACTTTTTATATCTTTGGCCTTGCTGGGTCTTTGTTGCTGCATAGACTTTTCTCTAGTTGTGGAGACTGGGGACTGCTCTCTAATTGTGGTGTGTGGGCTTCTCACTGCTGAGGCTTCTCTTCTTGTGGAGAACGGGCTCTAGGGCTCATTTGCTGTTGTTGCAGTTCCCAGGCTCTAGAGCAAGGACTCAGTAGTTGCAGCACACATAGGCTTTATTTGCTCCTAGGCATATGGGATCTGCTCGGATCAGGGAGTGAACACTTGTCACCTGCATTGGCAGGCGATTCTTTACCACTAAGCCACGAGGGAAGCCCTAGACTGTTTTTATGTACTTTAAAAAAATTTTTTAAAGTTTCTTGGCTGTGCCGTGCTGCATGTGGGATCTTAGTTTCCCCAAACCAGGGATTGAACCTGTATCCCCTACATTGAAAGCACAGAGTCTTAACCACTGGACTGCCAGGGAAGTCCCAGTGGATTACGTTTAAATGCAATATCATTAAAAACTCTAAATGAATGCCAAAAAACTCATGATGAACAGAATCTTAAAATTTTAAATAAAATCAGGATCTAGATTCCTGATTTTCCTTTAGTTTCAGGCTCATCTCAGCACAGTACTGTCACTGACCCTGTCTCCCAGGTTCTGAGTCAGGCAACGAGTGATGGCGAAGAGAGCAGTAGTTTGTCTTTTCTGATGTACGTGAAGGGAGAAAAAGAATTTGGTTTTGAACATAATGAGTTAGAGATGTCTGTGGGGCATCTGGTGGCCACGTCTGAGAACCCAGAGCCAGGTGAGAAGGGGTTGGCAGGGTGGGCAGGACACCCTCATCTCACATACTTGGCCATGAGAGGTGTGTGTTCGGCACATGTGGTCTAAATCACTGGTCCTCTGAGTTTGCATCACGGCTCAGGAATCTACAAATTCTCTCATCCAGAGTTTCTCACTTCTTTCCTAAAACTTCTACATCACTAACCTCAGATGTGTTCCCATATGGGTGTGGAAGTTTACTTGCTTGGGTGTTAAAAACATCTTCTGTGGAAATTAAAAACAACTAAATTCCATTAGAATTTGAGGATGGGGCATGAAGGGGGAAGAGGAGAATTCATATGAATTGGCTCTTTATTCATCAACCCTCCAGAAAGAGAATAGGAGCTAAGGAAAACTACAAAGAAGAGGGGTAGTAAAGGAGAAAAAGAAAGAAGAAAGATTAACAGAGCTAAAAATACAGTGAGGAGAGCCTGGGTAAACTTCAGAGCAGGGCAGATGTGTTTGCAAATAGAATCGGTCATTTAGATGTGTCAGGAAGAAGAGCTCCATAGGATGGGTGGAAAGTAAAAGTTATTTAGACTCAGCTCAGCACAGTAAAAAAGGTTCATTGGCCAATCAAACTGAGGGACAGATCTTCCCGCAACACGGAAGCCCTACGGCCTCAACCCCAAGTTCTCTGGACCAAGGGTTGGCACCAACGATGGAAACTCTTGCCATGGTTTCAGGACCCTGGACCAAATGGAGTCTTTCCATCCTGATTTCATACTTCTGAACAACCTTCAATGGAACAACCTCTGTTAAAGACTAGTTACTTTGTTTAATGTATCCTCATATACCCACTTCCCTATTCGGGACAACTTCTAAAAGCAGGGGGAGAGACTCCTCTGATGGTCCAGTGGCTAAGACTCTGTGCTCCCAATGCAGGGGGCCTGGGTTCAATCCGTGGTCAGAGAACTAGATCCAACATGCCTCCACTAAAGATTGCATATGCCACAATGCAGATTGAAGATCCCGTGTGCAGCAATGAAGACCCTGGGAAGCCAAGTAAATTTTTTTTTTTTTAAAGAAGACTGTTGGTAGCATTTTGTGAAATGATGTTGATAAAGAGTCTAGAACCATGCTTTGGACTACAGTGAGCATTCAATCAACATAGCTTTTACAGAAATAGGAGCAATAGCACACGTCAAATTACTCTGAATTATCGGTAAAGAACATGAGGTTTACTCTTATGGCAGTGTCAACTGAAGGGAGTTACACGGAAGGGAGAGAAGACAGAATTTAATGGAGCTTGAAGAGTATGTATCAGCTGCCATCTGTGTGAAGAGCTGTGTGCTAGAAAGAGATTCTGAGTGCTCCGAGAGGCAGAGTAGTGTTGCTCAGTGATTGAGTCAAAGGCCCAGGAAAGTAAATACATTTGGGTGTTTGGAACGAGGTGGTGAGGAAAAGTCAACCGCAAGACAGGGAAGGAGCAAAGGGAAACAGAGGCCCGGTCCCCTGTGTCTGGCCCTTCTGTTCCCACAATGCGGAATAAAGGCAGACGGTAGCCCCAGAGCCGGGTCGCACTTCTCCGGGGCTCACCGACTTTGAAAGGATGCCTGCCTGACCAACTTCCAGACGCTCACAAACCCTTCCCAGAGACAAACCCTTTCCGATGCCCTGCTCTAAAACTGACCCACCTCTCAGGAGGTGAGGCCAAGGCTCCGCCACTGAATGGGCCCCATTGTCCTCCTGAGCGCCTGTGGGTCCAGATCCCGGCGGCCTGGAAGGGGTTCCACGGCGGCCTGCGGTGCGGTCTGCCTGCGACTTTGATTCATTCCGGGGACAAAAACAAAAACAAACAAATAAAAAAAATCAGACAGGCAACACATGTGATTCCAGGAACTCCTGCCAGACTCATACTCTGTTTTTCCATCATTTCGCTTTCCTCCTCCCCCTGGGGAGGGAGCCTCCTTTGGCATTCTGCACATGAAATATCAAAACCACCAACAGGGCGAGCACCTGATAAGGAGCTCAGCATTGCCCAAGAGTTCCCAGGAAGAGGCGTCTTTGTTCTTGTTTCAAGCCCTTGACACCGCTAACAGCTCTAATTACTGCATTTGCCACGGGATGTAAAATAAAACCACATTCCAGAAACCATGTAGTCTCCCCGGGAGAGACACGCGGGCAGAGGTAGGTGCCCAGGGCTGCAGGAACGTGTTCTTTCATTTCTGGTCCCTAACCTTGGCAGCCGTTCTGAGAACGTAACAGTACCTTCTTTATGTGCACGGAGAAGGCCCTGTGCACAGGTAAGGATACATCTCGCTACCTGCACCCACAAACCTGGCCTGCATATTTGAGTATGCTGCGTGCAGAACGTGCTTCTTAAGAATGTCAGGACCTTCAAAATTCACCCGCGCCATTTTGGGGGAGAAGAGGGCTAGAGAAGTTCCTGAGGCTGTAAGCACAAGAAAATAGAACTTCTTCCAACATAAATCAACTACAAAAATCTGATGATGTAACACCCACCCACACCCACATCACAAACCAAAGTGACATCACAAATACTAGAGATAATGGTTCAAAACGGCCTGCGTGAGAGCCAAAATCTAAACAAAACAGCAGTTTGCCCATGCATGACTGAGGCAGAGAAAGACAGGTGATAGAAATATTAAAACGAAGCAAAACAAAACAAAACACAAAAGAGAAAAGGGGAAAAGAAAATACATATTTCTTCCCCTTACTAAGCTAGCTAAAATAAAGTTTAAGGCAACTGAAATATGGTAAGGTGATTTTATTTTATTATAGATGACATTTCTTAGAAAGCCAGGTCTCTTTTAAGTGTGTGATTCTAATCTCTCCAAATTGTTCTCTTGTTCTTGGCTGGTCCTGGGAAATGGAGGCCAGCATCATTTACATTGTGCTTTTGCCTTTATAGACCCCAGAGTATATTTCCCTGCTTAGCAGCTTTTCTTGGCTCGTGGCAGTCTGGTTAGAAGCGATTTCAGGACTTGGCAGGATTTTTACCTGCTGTCATTTCTGGGTTGCCGCAGAGTTGAGAACTGGCTACAGCTCCATAGGCAGCTCAAGTGATCCTGTCTCCCATTCCTCTCCCACGGTGGTTTCCCTTAGCTTTCCAGGAGACAGAAATTGCTTTTAATTTCTTATAAATGCTCCCCAACCCTCCCTCCACTTCCAGTGCAAGCATGCTATGTTCTTTGAGAACCTGACCATCACTGTGACATTGTGAAGTTACTATTGCTTTCCTACTTGGTACAAAAGGCTTTAGTGAGCAGGACAGAGGGTATGTAGAAAGGTTTCTAAGAGTTTTTGTGGAAGGAATGGTCTTTAAAAAGATGTTAGTACTTTACCTCCAAAATAGACCTTCTAGTTTCAGCTTGAGAATTGGTCTTTTCTATTCCTCTTTCCCCCTTATAATTCTAGCATCCAATCTATGTGAGACGAGACCCCAGCATCCCTGCCTATGGACTCCGACAGGCTATCTTACTGAACACCAGGCTCCATGACTGCTATGTGGACTCGCCAGCTCTCACCAACAATTGGACAACCAGAACTTGTGCTGAGCCGAACACCAGTGCCCCCACACCAGGTCCCACCTCTTCTTGGGAAGTTGTGAAGGACCCAGTAATTGCCAGTTCCTTCTCCCTGGTGAAACTGGTGCTCAGGCAACAGCTGAAAGAGAAATGCTGCCCAGTGCCACGCAAGTTTGGAGATGCAAACCCCCCCAAGAGATTAAAGCCCAGGGACGATGCAATAATGAAAACCACCCAGCAGGGTGGAACAAGAAGCTCCATCAGTTCCAAGAGCAAGGAGCCAGCGGGGCGGCGGCCAGGCTCGCCCAGGTGCAGGAGGCCTGCAGGAGGCGTCAAGGAGGTAGGAGAGGGCTGGTGGTGGAGGAAATGTGACAGAGTGGGAAGAGGGAGAGGTGATAGGGATTCCCGTGAAGAAGAGGAAATCCTAAAGTTAAAGATGGCTTGCGGGGGTGGGAGGGGGGAGGGAGGTCCGAGAGGGAGGGCATGAATGTATGCATATGTATCTGATCGACTTCATTGTACAACAGAGACCAATACAACATTGTAGAGCAATTATGAAGAAAGTGACAGTGTTAGTCACTCAGTCCTGTCCGACTCTTTGCGACCTCTTGGACTGTAGCCCACCAGTCTCCCTGTCCCTGGGATTCTCCAGGCAAGAATACTGGAATGGGTTGCCATTCCCTTCTCCAGGGGATCTTCCTGACCCAGGGATCAAACCTGGGTCACCTGAATTCCAGGCAGATGCTTTACTGTCTGAGCCACCAGGAAAGCTGGGTAATTATACTCCAATTAAAAAAAGAAAAACCGAATGCCTCCTGGAGCTAGTCAGTCAGGATTCTGATCCCAACTCTGACTGTAATTGGCTTTTGTCATCTATAAAACGGGGAGTGACAGCCCTTCCTTCATAGGGTTTCATGAGGATGAAATGAGTTAGTACACGCAAACGGTTTGCAAGCCGAGCCTGGCGCAGAGTAGATGCTTGGGGTCCTGTGTGGCACTCTGGAGGTGACAGCCACGGCCCACGCAATGGCTGTGTGGCCTTGGGCAAACCCATTCCCAGCTCCTTGCCTTTAGAGCTGTCTCCCGCTGACCTTCCAGTGTTGTGGCGAATCGCTCGCGGAGGTGTCTCTGAAGGAATGCAGTGAACTAGAACATGCTAGACAAATGTTGGTTGTGGCCGTAACCAAGACTCGGGGACACAAATCCCAGATAATTATTCTGAGCTCCCTTCTCAAGTTTTAGCTTTGACTTCTCTGCTTTCTTCCTGGCTAGAGTAAAGAGAGTTCAAAGGAGAAAAAAGCAACGGTCTGCCAAGATCTTGAGAGCAGATATGCTGAACATGTGGCCGCCACCCAAGCGCTACCCCGGGACATGGGGACAGCGTCCTGGAAGGGCCGAGCCTCGATTCCCGAAACCAGGAAGAGGCAGCAGTTGTCCGAGGACGTGTTGGTCATCCACGGCCTCCCCACCGAGGGCTACCGGGCTCTGTACCACGCTGTGGTAGAGCCCATGCTGCGGAATCCTTCTGGGACCCCCAAGAGGTACAGCCTGGAGCTGGGCAAGGCCATCAAACAAAAGCTCTGGGAGGCTCTGTGCAGACAGGCTGCCGCCCCCAAAGATGCTCAGAGGACCTGCTGCCAGGCAGGAAGCGGTTGGAAGTCCACAAGGAGCCTGTGGAGGAGCCTGTCCCCAAGAAATAGCTCAAGAGCAAGAAATAGGAACCGGAGCTCACAGGATTAGGATGTTCTCTGCTGGATGTCTGAAAAATAAACACTGCTTTGCACCTTCCACGAGATCTCAGAGTGCTTTACAAATCAGTGACTACCTTCCCCGGGTCAGGGGGGAAGCAAGCATGGGTGTGTAGGAGATTCATTTTAGATGCAGGGCCCCCTCTCCACCTTCATGGTTTGGCCATTTCCAGGCTGGACACTTAAGCCTTTTTCCTACAAGTCCCTTTTCCTTAAAGAGGGGCTGGAGGGCCTCAGTCTTCCAAGTAGGAAAAGGCCTGGCAGGTGAAGTCGATGGTTACATCCAGCCTATGGTTCCTGTTTTTAAAAAGTAGGCTCCTGGGATCCCCCCGCCCACCCACCCCCTCCCCGGCCACACACACACACACAGGGCTGAGCAGAACACTTGCCACCACCATCAGGGACACAATCACAAATGCTTGCCCGGGAATCACCCGGCTCCCCAGGTACCTGAATTCTGTTTACACAGAAGCCCCCGTGGATGATGGGCACTGCTTCACGCAGAGGTCTCCTTTGTGGCATCTGTAAGACCTTCACCAAACAGAGCAACGACAACATATAATACATACTTGATAAAATTGTATTTTTTTTTTTACAGTCATTTGTACAATTTGTTACAAAACCATAGAAGACTACAACTTGTTTTAAATCATTTTTGGTCGGCAAATATGTAAAATCTGTGTGCAATTATCATGTATTTACAGGGCTTCATGTTAGTCATTTTCAATGATTATTCCAACAATGTCACACTCTCAACATAAGACATGGCTTAAGATAAATATATTAGTAAATAAATATTCTGAGAACATATTTCCATAAATGAAATGTGCTGCTATACATATACAGAATATACATAAGTTGTTTTCTAGCCTTTAAAACATTTTTAAAAAATGGTAATGTTGGAGAAGGAGCCCTTAGACAACTTTATTACAAAATCTTTACAGCAAAAGTCTTTACAAAATATCTTTTAAGTGCCATGGGAGAAATATTTTTTAAAAAACATTTAAAAATAGTGCCTTGTTAGACCAATACAATAGAGTTTATATAAAGAATAGAAAAAGGCAGTTCTGTTTAAAAAATAATACTCTTGATTAGTAATTATTTTTTAGACCTCATTTTAAAAGCATTAGTCCTGCATGAGCTTTGAGTAGGAGCTAGCAGCGCATTAGGGAGGGTGTGGGCGGTGGGCAGCAGAAGGAGCTTTATAACATGGCGCGGGTTAGAATCAGGGTCAAGGTAAGCGGGAGGCAAAGAGACGGGGAGTTAAGGCCAGCACCCCGGGCTGCGTCCACAAAGAGGTACCTGGTGGACCAGAACTCCCAAACCCCCATTTCTCACTGGTTTTAGCATTCTTCGATCTACATGGCTGTCCTACACCCAAGGCTGGGCCATGGGACCACGCCCAATAGCCACATTCCTGCTCATGGGTGTGTGTGTGTGTGTAGGGGGTGGTTCTCAATGGAAGATTCGAGGCTTACAGTTTCCACATCTACATAACCCCCACACACCATGGAGAGGCCACTGAGAAAAGATACTTATCATTATTGGAGTCTTACGACTTCAAAGAAGACAGTTCTTTTGACTTGAACGGTGAGGCAATATAGTTGGGTCATTATGCTTTGTGACCCAACACAGATTTAAGACAATGGTTAGGGATTTCAAAGTCTGAAAATTTCATTCTTCTGTTTCTACCACCCTATAAAATATGAAAATTAAATGCATTTCTTTTGCCATCTGTAGTTACTGCTCTTTTCAGATGAAAATTGGACACATTTATTCTAATAAGCCCAGTTGAAGCCACATGTTCTCCTCATCCATTTATTGCTTAAGGCTGTTGAGGAGTGGTTTTTTTTCCCCAGTCGGGACTAAAGCAAGCCACTTTGGGGGGTCGGGTTTCAGACAAAGAAGAGAATATGCACTCGAAGGCATTAAAAACAAACAAAAAACACAAAACCACAAACAAACAGAATCTCAACAATGAGAAGCTGCTTTTTGCAGTTCCTGTTAGAAGCCCCCACCCGTTCCCCATGCAAGTTGCTGTCCTTTGCAGCTGCTACTCTCGGCCCCAGGAATAAAGGCGGCCCAGATCACATGTCGCCCGTGCAGGCACTTCCCACACCCTCACCAACAGGTGTGCCGTGCACAGGTGGGGCTGGGGGTGGGGGTGGCCCCAGAGGGATGTCC